ATATATATATATATACATTATTTTTATTTCATTAATTTATGTAATTTTTTCAAAAAATAATTAATTAATATATATATTTTATAATTTTTCTAAAATATTATTACTACAATTTCTTTTATAAAAATTCTTGCACAATATATTTCCCCAACAATGTAAGCTAATAGGATCTTCAGCCCAGAATAGCTACGGTATCGGGACAAGTTCAACGAGGTTCCGGAAAAAGTTCCGAAAATTCCAAAGAAGATGTGGGAAATTTTAGTGCAGAATCAGGTTACGTTCAAAATGGTTCCAAAAAGGTTCTGGAAAAGGTTTAGGAAGCTTTAGTACAAAGCCAGAGTTCAATAAGATACGGCCATTTAATTAACGGAAGCCCAGCAAGGTATTTCCAACGCTTAGCTCAGTAATATACTTCAAAAAGATTTGTAAAAATAATATATTACGGCTATTAGGCATATCACCGAAGCTTATTTTTTTAAAATAGATTATCAATAAAAATTAAGATATAATTTTCCAAATTACGAAAAAATAAAATAATAAACCTATATAAACCTATATATCCTATAATCTATCACACACAAAATCCTCATATAACAATACATCACATAAGATACCTCACGCAACAAAACATCATATAACAATACATCACAGAACAATAAAACACATCACAAAACATCACATAACAAAACATCACACAACAATACATCACACAACATTACTTCACACAAATAATACATCACATATCAATACATAACGAAAAAACACATCGCACAATAATAATCAACAATACATATCTCACACCCATATATCACGTATCAAAATATAATATAAAAATATATGACTAAGCAATAAATCACACAACAATACATCCCACGGCAAAATATCACACAACAACACATCCATTACATTACATCACATACAAGTAACAAAAGCATCACACAACTATACATCAAATAAAAACCGCGTTGGAATGGCTGCATAAATCTCGAAGTGGTACTGTGAACCGCATCGTAATGGCTACAAGAATGTTACATGGGATTTGTGTTAGGGCGGCAGCCGGAGCGCGAAACACCGTGTTTTTCTCCAACAGCGTAAATTAATAGGGTCTTCAGCCCAAAATAGCTCCGGTGTGCACTAGTGCAGGTTCAACGAGGTTCGGTTGAGAGCCAGGTCAGGTCAGGTTCAATAGGGTTCGGGAGGAGGTTCCACGAAGCCTTCGCGCAAAGCCAACTCAGCTTCAACAGGGTTCCGGAGAAGGTTACGGAGAAGCGGAGAAAGTTCCAATGGAGGTCTGGGAGGCTTTGGTGCAGAGTCAGGTCACGTTTAACAGGGTTCCAAAAAAGGTTCCGGAGAAGGTTCCAGTAGGCTTCGGTGTAGAGTCAGGTGAGGTTCAATAGGGTTCCGAAGAAGGTTCTAGAGAAGCTTCCGGGAGGCTTTAGTGCAGAAGCAAATCAGCACAGCTCAGCGTCTTCCCAGACAGCTAACATACCTTTTATATTCGGCCAATAGCCAATCGTACGGTGTCTACAACATTACTCTATATCTCTCTTAAGCCTTAACAGCGTATGTAAATATGTTCAATACTAATGCTATATCCACATCACATGCAAGCCCAAACAAAAAACAAGGGCAGGGTTAGCCGACGCTAAAACATATATATATATTTAGAATATGCTTAAATTATTATATTATGTTATATTAATTTATTATTAATTATATCAATATAATAGTAATAATACATAATAAATAATAATAACAATAATAATACTTTAGTATTATTATTAATACATTCATTAATATTCTTATGATTACTATAATAGATTCATATATATTCATACATAATCATATAATTATATATTATTATATAATACTATTCTTAATTACATTATATTATATTATATTATATTATGATATCTTTATATTATTATATTATATATCTCATATACTATTCTATTTTGGATATTTATATATATTTATAAATTATATATAATAAATTTTAAATATGTAAGAATCTTAAGAACTAAAATGACTGCAAATCATTGGCAGTCTAGGTGCGTCGCCGCAAATGCACAATCGCGACATTTCTGGGTTTTGAAAATCTTGGGAAGAGCCTCCTGTGCAGCGCAGCAGCTGGTCTAAAAGAGGAAGCATAACACTGCACCTGGACGCATGGGGGCTATACTTTCCAACTTCCAAAGAACCTTCCCTCTACTTGATTTACCTGATTGCTACAAAAGCAAAATAACGCGCTAGTTCTCTGATGTTATGTGGCACGTATCGGGCATTGTTGCTAAGCGTGGGGGAGATCTTCATGCACAATGAAGCTGCCAAAAAAAGAGTCGCGTCAGGGGCCGGTATATACGATCACAATTCTGAAGTCCAGCAATGGCACTGGCATCTTGAAGAGTTCCAGTTCGCTTCACTAAGTCGAGAAATTCTACTTGTTCGGAGCTGCCCCGCCCAAACCCATGTTTGCAGTGTCAAAATGATGTAGAGGCTACATGAGGCCCACCGTTTGGTGCTATGATGTTGACATAGGTTGGAAGCTACAAGTGCAGAAGTAACATGAAGCAACCAGGTAGCCTGCATGTAAACAAGAGGGCTGTGAAATCATAACTTGCACATGGCCAATACAACTCTGTACATGCTGCTGCTGCTGCTGCTGCTGGGTCTACCGCCACTCCTGACTCGCAGTTGGCACGCTTCCCTCTGGGAAGCACTCAGGAGACATAATTGACGTTGTCTGACAGCCTTGGCAGTTGCTTTCCACACAAAGTTCGCTCCGCTGGCCAAAAACAAAGCAAAGCAACTATCTGAAAATCAAGATATTCCAGTTCACTGCAGCCAGCGCTTCCAATGAATAGCCAGTGTGACATATCCTGAAATATCCTGAATGTGATTCCTGGAATAACTCGGGACGCTTCCAACCCTGCCAAGCCACTGTCAGGTGCCTTTGCAGATCTTCCTCGGAATCTCAACAGTCAAGTTGATACAGTGGGGTTTTGCCGTCCTCACACTGTCTGCTGCCGTATGCTGCCGTGCTGTTTATGCTGTTTGGAGAGAGCCCATGCTTTCACTTCAAGAAATTGTGGAAACTTTGTCATCTATATGGTCTATACGAGTCTATACGTGAGTTGGGTTCAAGAATACAAATCACGCAACAACTATCCTTAAAGAATCATACATGGAACATAGGGCCCTCGGATCCGCTGGCCAAGTCTTAATAGCTATGTCACATGTAATGTGTCGCCATGTGTTGCTATTGTCTCAAAGTCTTAAGAGCCCTGCCAAGTCCAGCTGCAAAGCTGGGATCCAAACCTTTAGGCAGAATCTGGTTTGCAAGGATGCGACGCAAGGCGTAGAGGTGCAGGACACAAAAGACAAAAGGTGTTTGACTTTTGACCTTGTTCAAACACCATCTATACATGCACTTTGAAGCCCCAAATTTCCCATCTGTCGCCCTAATCATGCATGTGATCCTTCTTGAATTCTATCATTCCAACTTCGCACCGATGGCCTCAAAGCAAGCAGCAGCGGGAAGCAACGAACCTGCAATTGCCGTCCAAATGTGTCCAATTCCTTCGATCTGTTCAGCTGTGATTGGTGTGGCATGTGTTCCAGCACACTATAGTATGTGCGTGAGCAGTCAGTGATGGACTTCATCCTGAAGTGTGTGATCTGAAACATGATAATTAAACATGGGTCATCCGATTTCATCCGATTTCATCCGATTTCATGCATCATCTTCCTGGAACAGTACCGTCGCATGGCGCCGCTTTGAACTCTCATGGCAGCTTTGCCTGCTCAGCCTGAGACCTGGCCAGAGACCTGGCGCAACGAATCTGTCCAAGCACAACGAACATGTCCAGAGTCCATCAAAGTCCGCTAAATCGACTAAATCATACTAAATCGACTTCAAATAGCATGAAGACTTCAAGACATTTCAACAAGCCACCGTAAGCCACGGCAAGTGACCTATCTTCGTCATGCGGCACCTCTCGCATCTCCTCCATATATCTCAGATCTCCGGACTAATGGGACTATCGCATTGACATCCATTGACTGCATTGACTCATTGGTGACGCAAACGGTTTTGGTGTCTAAAGTGCAAAGGAAAATCTTGTCTAACTTCTTTCAATAGATACAAGTATATGATATGCTAAGATGATGCAACATGATGAATGTCTAATTGGAAGTTGATCTATTCAATTTCAAACCTCGTTTGATGATTGTGCTCAGGCAAAGGTCGTCAACTTGAATGCCATCACTGTCACAACGCCCGTCGAAAAAACATCTCTCTCCCTCAGTCCAGCATAGTTTCAGTAGCCTCCTCTGGAGCCTCAAGTCAAATCTCACCAGAATTCATGCACCAATTTTGGCCGAAAAATGCTTCAGTCTGAACTGCGTCAAAACGCAACGCATGTTCAAATTATGACCAATCGCACCGAAGCATGTGGCTTAAACGAGCATGACAAAATGACAAAATGCAAAGTTGCGCTGGCCCCCCTGAGGCTATAACCTGTGGCTGCGAATCCTCAGAAAGCTGAAACGCTTAATGCTCATCCCCGCACCCCTGCATCCCGGCACTAACCTCAGGACCTATTTGCAATATATATATATATACATATAATATGAGTTGTATAGTATATAGTCTATAAACATATAAACACATGAGATTCTTGACACATAAGTACATAAATTTTTGACAAACATGTATATATATGGAGATAATTGGATATATATATAATATGCCTACCTCGATGATAAATGCCAGCTGCAAGCCGAATATTCAATGGCATTTCAGATACCTAAAGTGAATGTACCCAATGTATGTCAGGTCTATATGAGGCCTCTCTGCAGGACAGTACAATGATGGAATATTCCCTCAACATTTACCATTACATAAACATTATACATAAACTGCGTATCTTGCAGTCTTACAGTACCTTGATTTCGGGCATATACTTGAGCGGACCATTGAATCATTGAAACATGTGCATGTGATTCACGTAGTGCAAATGTGATGTGATGTGGTCTGATGTGATGTAGGCCTACAACGTAAAGTACTGCAGTTTAACATAGTTTCACAGTTTAACCCAATATGAATGCGATTCAATGTGGATACGAATGTCAACATCAGGCGGTGCAATTCAAGAAAAACATGGGTATGAATCTGTGGGGCTAGATGCCGTTGCACATGCAGCTGCGAATGTAAACGCGCAAAATTATGTGCGTGGGCGTGATTGTGCGTGTAAATACCTGCAAATGCACACACACAATATCATGCAGGTATGGGCATACGGTATGGGTGTGTGTGGTGGGGCATTCCATCCCTCCCCTCACCAAAGATGGTCATAGCTTCTCTGATCATAGCTCGTACACAGCGAGAACTCTTGTGTATAGGCAGCATACAATGATACAATGTAACAACTTGTGTACAGGTCATGCATAGGTAGCAGAAAGGAAGTACATAGGCAGCATGGAGGTTGATGGGTAGGCAAGTTAGCTGTGGGCAATAGGTACACAAGACAGAAACAGTATGTAGGTAAGACTTTGTAAACAATGAAAAAAGGTACTAAGGTACAAAAGGGAATATGTGGCTGTGGCGGCTATGTGGATACTATATTCACGTAGGTACTGGGTATTGCACGAGAACGGTGGTACAAAGACGGTGTACGCACAAATAAAAGGCGGGAGAATATGGGAGAATATCTAGGCAATTATTGTGGGAAAGGAATCTTACGCACTCAGTCTATAGGCCATGCGTTCTTAGATATCTGAGGTCATAACATACGAATCAGCTCTCTGTTGCCAGTATTCGCAGCTATGTAGACAATGCGTTGTAGTACTAAAAGGATCTAAACGGATCTAAAAGGCGTTTTGAGAAAATTTGAGCATCTGTGAGGTGACCACGGGGAGATGAAGGCGGTACCATGGATAGAACATACAGCATACAGATTGATATAGATAGATGATATAGAATAGAGGTGGACTGTAGAAAAATGATTGAAACATGTAGATGTGTATGCCATCCTTTTTGTAACTGTGCTCATTGTACTCTCTCTCCCTGTTAAATCTGTTTGCCTTTTGGATGCTTTTGGTTTCCATGAATCGTATAACCAACGTGCGGCCTCGTGCAGGAGCTCGTTCATCTGCCGAAACTTTTGATTCGCCATCCGCAGCAAAACATCAAAGCTCCTTGGCTCCTTCCACCGCCTCAGCAACAAGCTGCAACCAAACCAACTGAACATGCGCATTCCAATCATTCCAATCATTCCGCATGCTTGGAAGCTAAGTTATCTTAGCTAACATCTTGAACTTCGTGCTGAGGGATGACTCTCACAACAAAAGCTCACATAAGCTCACACTACTCGTCTTGTGCACAGAAGATGCTTGACAACAAGACTGCACTGAATCCTTGAGAAGTCACAGTTCAGTGTGTAACATGGTATAATATGGTGTAATATATGCAAAATATTATCAACTTCATTTTTTTTGTTTCGACATATTGAAAGTCTCAGCAAAGCACTCGTCCAAGTCCTTTGCTCTTTGCTGCGGCGACCTGGAGTCACTTCTACGGAAAATCTAATGCGTTGAAGATCGTTGAAGTCCTGAGGATCCAATCATCACTGCACCGTCGGTCATGCATAGGCATAGAATGGCATAGATATAGATTGCTTGATCATGCTTGATTCAACATGCCTCTGAAAGCTCGCCATGTACTGCCTTGAATCCTCCAAGTTCGCGCACGATCCACTGCTTCGCAAATGGTTACTCTGCGTGCTCTCATAGAATACAATACACTATCCAAGTGCGCTCCTGCATTGTAGATAGAGAACATTTCTCATAAAACAAAGCAACCATAACATTACATGTCCATCATATTGTATTTTATCGTATTGAACTGCAGTAGTCTGAATTAAACTTTTGCGTGAACGCACACGTGCATTTTCCCGCAGGCAGACAACCCGGGAAGTCAAACAAGCACATGCTCACGTATCCACATCTGCTTGTGGTTGCGGGATGTTGTGGGTATGTACGTATGAAATATATTTCAATATTATTCACATGTGCCGATAAGAAAAGTACAACATATAGGCATATGCGCACAAATCAAAAAGATACAGTGATCACATGTCATGTAATTATACAGTCACATGTTCCAACATGCACACACACATAATGAGTATTCATAATGAGTCTTCATCTAACCTACACTAAAAATGCATACATAATCATAGATAATGTGATATGCAATTAAATGAAACGGTCCTAAATTTACCTGCAAGTGCAAGCGTGGTTTCATGTACATTCACGTGCGATGCATAGATATTCGGCCTTCAAAAGCAACAACCACAGGGTGTTCTGTGCCTGGGCATAGCGTCGCACGCCTTGGGCGTGCTCAAATACATACCTGGGCAGTTGAGCTGGATGGCTCAGCCTCCTGACTCCCAAGCTGCAAATACTTTAAACTTCTTGTAAACTTGGAAAACAACTTCACCGTGTGGTTTACCCTTACATCTATGAGCTTGTCTTGAGGCATAGTTTCCCGTACATACAGTAGTGGTCAAGAGTGGTGCATCTTTTCAAGCACACGTTTCATTCATGGAATGTCATGAACATAAATTGCACGATTGGCCTGTTGCTTACAGCACATGATAGCGCAACAAAGGCCCCGCGCTGTGGCTTCGCATGCGGGAAGAGCTTTCACCTGTGTGCTTTGCGTCAAGCTGTGAAACGAAATCATGCCTATTTCAATCAACCAAATGGATTCTATACGGTTAAATACACATATATATGTATAAATGTATTCATATAATCATATATACAAATGTATTCATGTTTGAAAATGCAGCAATTGAATTCAACTCAATTATGTATCTCAAAATATCTTTTGTACATTTTTGTACCACCTGGACTGAAGTACGAGTTGCTCCGCTAAAACCTCGTTTTCCTCTGGTGTTATATCACAAAGAATATAGCCATTATATAAATATCATTAAGGGCATGTGCTGCAATAATGAGTCATGTTTTACACACATCTATTAATATTGTTATATTTGTTGAACATTGTTGAACCAGCTACGTTGTGGGATGTTGTTCTTCCTATTTTTGATTCAGGTTTTTAGCTATGGCTATGGCTATGAGTCTATGGGCACTCATTGAAATGTTGATCGATACTATGCAAAGAAAAGGCACCGGTCGAAAAAGGGTAAATCAACTTATGAGCTGGTTACATTTTGTCTGGTCTCTGATGCCAAGATTGTTCCTTGGAACAACTTCCGAGAAAGATTATGGACGATGTGTCTACGGAACAAGTCCTCACAATTTTATTTCGAATTTGCTGAAGGTTTTAGCGGCACCCTCCCATACTATTGAAAGCATTTGCGAGCAACTTTCCAAGAAGCGGAAGGCAACATAAGGCACAGGAGGCTGTGTACGCCGTGAATGATGCTTCCACACTGTTCCCCTTCAGACCTGTGCACTTTGAGTTTTAAACCCCTGAGGCATAAACCATCTGCAGCTGAATGGCGTTGTGGCAGCTGTGAACCTGCGACCCAAGATGACCCAAGATGACCCAAGATGACCCAAGATGACCCAAGATGACCCAAGATGACAAAAAAAGAGGACCCAAGATGACTCAACTCTGTGAATGTCACAGAAAGTTCCTCTTCTAGACTCCAAGCCAGTGGAAGGAGAAAACTCTGAAAAAAAAACATCAACTTTTTGAGTTGAAAACGGTCGGACCAGGTTTAACATTTTTCGGAACAGGTTCAACGTGGTTCAACCATCTTCAGGGAGTTGAAGTATGAAATGCCGCTGTCTGCAATCTCCGTGGCTTGGATGTGAAACATGGTCATACATGGTCAAATCTTCGAAACGACATTGCGAACGCAACATGAAGTGCTTACATTGTAAGCGGCACTGGACAAAACAGAATCAAAACATGTCAGCCACTTGTATCATCTTATATGAACTTGTCAAGTTTGAAACTTGCCCTTTGCAGCCAAGCAACTGCAAGGTGAAGAACAGTTGTTGGGCGAGAAAGCTGGGAAGCTGCGCGCCCCCAGAAAGGCTGGGCTCCTGGGTTTCTGGCTTAAATGAGCTTCAATTCTAGCTTAAATATGCTTCAATTATTTGCGATCTGGAAGCTTTGAATATGTTTGAACAGGTTCTATTCAGATTGAATAATCTGTTACACTTGACAAAACATGCATTCAATGCCATGCATATCAACACCTTTCTACAAGAGACGCGTAAACATCTCCAAACTATGTGCATGTGCCTGTCATCATGGCACTCAAGACTTGGAAGTAGCATGACATACATATTCGATAACATCATGATTGCAAATGATTGCTGATGGGCAGCCGTAGGAAACGACTAGGACCTAACTAGGAAGACAAATCAAACATGGTTCAAATAGATTGAACTTCAAGGCAACTTCCCCAAGTGTTACCACTCCATTTTCAAACAGCCTGGTGAAGATCTTAGTGCCCGACAAACGTTCAGCAGTGGCTTTGCTCCCGCCTTGTTATATGCATCAACCAAGCAGCATAACTTACTGTACATCATGCCCAAACAAAGCACATGCGGAGAACTTTGCAAATCTTAGACATCTTCGACATTCTGAGCTTTGGAAAGCACGGCCCATAGGTCTACCAAAAAATATGTGGAACGAGTTCAGGTGAGGGCACCTTGTAGAAACTCCAACAATCTCTAACAACTCTAGCTTGTGCCCTTGTGACAAAAACCAATATGGCAGTTCGCAATTCTTGATGCAGCTTATTGCTGTGGTATGTTTGGTATGTAAGCGTGTTTGGAGATCGAGTGGCAGTTCGAGTCAAAACATTGAAGTATAACATAGTTCATGCGATCTCATCTGCGTTTCTGATTTTTCTTGGTTGATTCCTTGCTTGATTCCCAAAACGCATATTGATCTGCAAGGCGCTGAGCTTGGCTATAGTCCAGCACAGCTGCCTATGATGATAGCCATACATAGCGGTACTGCCTTCAAAAGACACATTTTGTCCTCCAAAGGAGTCAGAGCTCTACGAGATCTCATTGTTGGCCAACCTGTAACCCCCTCCGTATGAATCATGGTCCAAACCTCTACGCTGAAGCCGCTCCTGGCAGCCAAATTGCGTCTTTGGCTGCTTTGGAAATCTTTGGAAGCTTCTGTCTATCTTTGTCCATCTTTTTTATTCTTCATCCATCTTCATCCCACACTTATCCACACTTCCTCTGCAATTTGGGGCTGGAAACCGGATGAAAACGGCAGGTAGAAATGGAAAGCTCGAATTGTGCCCTGGGAAGGTCAGCCAAAGATGGGAGGCAAAGTCGTACTGTATATCATTGTCTATCTATACAGTATAGTACAGATACACAATAAACGAACTATAAATATGATATAAATATGATATAAATATGATATAAATATGATATATATGATATATATAAATATATTATAAATATGATATATATATATTATAAATATGATATATATATATTATAAATATGATATATATATATATATATTATATTATATATTATATATCATATATTATATAGATATTATTATATTATATACATATTATAAATATTATATAAATACTATAAACATATTATATAAATATTACATAAATATTGTATAAATATGATATATTTATATAAATGTTACATAAATATAATATATATATATATATAGCCAAACAGGGGGACAAACCAGGCACCCACAAAAAGGAGAGAACCCGATCCGACAAACCCTGCATGAAATACAACAGCAAGCACACTTTTGTGCACTTGAGCCATGAGCATCAAACAGCGGGAGTTAAGGACCTACCCGGTAGTTGTTGGGAAGGCTAACTACGACCCTGGGATAAACTCTAGGCTATCTACATACCTAACGCTTCTAGGTATGAGGTGCTACTACTGTACACAAGGTATTCGGAGTAACTACTTGGGATGTTATGGAATCATAGCTACGGCATGCCAATACTAGACCTACTACCTATGCTATATATGGTGGGGCTCAGGGGTCGATATATTTCAACTCCCCCCTCGCCTGTTCCACACACACTGCGCATTGGCAGTAACCTACGCAACTACTGTCGCGCGAACGGGTGTCCGCAGCGACCTAGGCGTTGGCTTTAAGGTCTAAGGGGAGGTCAGTACGTATTCCTAAAAGGATTAGTGCTGCTGCCCATTTGTGTGGAGGCAATGCCTTGGTGAATATGTCTGCCGCCTGGTCATCGGTGTGGGTGTACTCTATCTCAGCAGAGTCATCTCTGAAGACTTCGGACAGGCAAGACAAATTAACTTTGTGTGTTCTAGTTATATGGCGAAGCTTGGGACTATATCCTTTCTTCACAACTAGGATTGTTGCTTGATTATCTTCGTGGACCTTAAGGGTTACGGAGCGTGCAAGCAACAGCTCCCATAACTGTAAGGCAGGCAAGCCTTCTTGATAAAGCGAATGGGCTAAACTAACAACCTCGCTTTCCGTGGTCGATCTAGAAGTGGATGTTTGGCGCTTGCTAATCCATGCAAGTGGGAAGAAGGAACTAGGGCCAGTCAAAACCAAAAAGCCACCGGAGGTTGAGCGTGCAGTTGATCTGTCGCCGGCGAAGTCGGCATCGACAAACAGTCTGAGCTCTAGGTCTTCAGGCTTGTCCTGAATGGTACCTACTAACCTGTAGTGTGGTGTTGAGGCTATATACTGGATTAATCTTAAGACCTTCTTATCATCCCCCCTGGACCACGACTGGACCTTTGTGGCCAGATCATTGATAGGCTTGATGATGTCGGGACGTGCAAGTCTACCTAACCAAAGGGCTTTCATCAAAATCTTACATGCATTTGGAGCTAGTTCCCCTTTGGTTTCATCATCTTCAATGGTGATGGATCCCTCAGGTGGAAATGGCGTGGCGGCATGCTTGAGCTTGGTGATACCGGTTATTGATTTATACAAATCTACGGTCTGCTGAGCGTAGTCTGCCATATCAAAAACCATGCCATCTTGGGCTTGGAAGGCTGCACATTTCTCATGACCTTCGGTCTTGGATAGTGGGGTAACAACATGGTTGCGTCCAAGAATCCTATAGATGGGCTCTGGGGGTTCGATGTCTACCACAGAAGTTAACTTACTCCAGAATGCATCATGCTGGTCGGCGGGGCCAGCCAGAGTCAAATCGTCTACATAAGTTGACAGAAGTAACTTTGTATCTGGGAAGTAAAAATTTCCTGGGTATTCTGGAACTTCCTGTCCACCAAGGTTCTTGATGATGACTTTCAGGTGTTGTTCCCACAGGCCTCCGGCATCAGGATGACCGTATAAGGCTTTAATTAAGAGGACTACGGGCTTAACAAACTGTTGTTTCCAATACTTAGGGCGGAGCTCCGGTGGAAGCTCAATCCAGGTTTTGTATTTGGAAGATAACAGTGCTTGGACGTAAGCTTTGACTGCATCTGCAGCCGTCGCGCGGTTACCCGGCAGCGACCCATACGCCAAGCAGGCGTTTAGCCCTTGGACGGAGGTGGGGTTTGCGCCGAGTTCTTGGTAAACCGCGGCTGCACCATGTTCGTCCTTTGCGCAGTCTCCTCTGTACACAATGCGCCCCTTCATTTTGTGAAGGTGGTCTGCAAGCTCGTAGAATTTAATGGACGCGATGGTCATGAGCTGACCAAAGTGCACTGACACACCCGAAGCCTTAGCTTCTTTGCGTACATCTTCCTTCCCGCGGACCGAGCCAAGATCCCAAGTACCAGCCTTAACCAAACCATCGGCTTCGGCGCGGATTGCCTCTAGGGCCTTGGGATTTGACAGCATCTCTGCACGGGATAAGAGCTTAGTGACCATAGCTTTGACCTCAGGCGTTGGCGCCTTAGGGTCTTCCAGATGGAAGGCTTGGGCGATCAATTGTTCATGGTCAAGAAGTTCTGTAACCAACCTATTAGCAGTGGGGTCTGATTCAACAGCTAGGGCTAAATCTTCAAAACCAGCTAATGGGGATACATGCTTAAGGTGCTGCTCAATTTCCCTATGGGGTTGAGGCTCGCTGGTTGCCGGTCGGCAAGGCATAGCAGGAACGGACTGCTGGGCACATTTCGAGGGATACAAAGCTTGCGCAATTAGATTAGTCATTTGGGGCGGATACATTGCGGAGCGAGTGGTCTCAGCTCCCTCACATCTGGAATGAGGTTGCTGGCATCGACACCGCATATCTTGAAACGCCTCTACAATTCGGGGAGAAGTGGTCTTGAGCTTCCATGGCTTTTTGATGGGATAACCATTTCTGTCGGTTAAACCTACGGTACACCCTTCAAAACCAACGGTCATAAACTGGGGATGCTTCTCAAAGAATGCTACAACGTCAGGCCTTTTCCAGCCAGAGCAAGGTCTTGGCCACTCAAACGTTACAGTACCACCATGATTGAGAACCCTTTCAGCGCGTTTGGAAAAACTCTTAAACAACCGTTTGGACTCTTTGACCTGGTGGGCAAGCTTCCTAATGAATGCGGCACCACCCCTCTTCCTATTGATGTACTGCCAAGGGGATCCGGATGTGCAAGGGATAGAGGCCCACATGTGTGGAGGTGCAACTTTAGCGGCTTCATCTATCTGATAGTCTAGTTGCTCACATTGTGATTCATCTCCCAGGTCAATCCTATCCTTACAAAGTCTAACATGATTAATGCCATATTCTTGGTGAGTAAAACCCATCTGGGAGTCCTCAGAACAAGCAAATTCAAACATGGTTGACTTGGCATTGGGTCTGGAAGCTTTCTTGGCAGCTTTCCGGCTCCTACGATTATCGCGGTTAGTTGGCTTACCTACAGCAGGGCAACCAAAAACAGGCAGCGATTTTTGACATAGGTCGGAACATCGATTGGCAACTTGGGGAAGAATAGCTACACCAGAAACAGAAACAGCAGGCTCGGCTGGAGCGCTGGGTTCGGATGACCCTGGTACCTCACCTCTTATGAAGATTTCCTCAACCAGTGCTCTGTCCTCTGCGGAGAGGTGAGATGGTATCGGATCGGGATCAGGCAGATCCTCACCCTGGAAGATGATGCCATGTGCTTCATCATCCTTGTCCTCTGCTTCTGTCTCACTTGTGGGAGGTGGAGCTTTCTTTTCTTTTTCGGCTTCTTTCTCTTTTTCAACCAACATTGAGAAGCGGGCTCTGCACTCATCGGTGTGCACGCGTGAATGGCCAGTGCAGCCTTTGCAACCGGGGGTCTCTTTCCACTTAAGGATACGGTCTACGGTTATATAAACAGAACGACTTTTGAGACCTGGTGTAGAGGGTGAGGCTATTCCGCCCTCCTTGGGGAAGGGCACATCCTTCAAGGCATATTCAGGCAACTTAAGATCATCTGGGTTATCCCCCCTGATGAGAGCTTGGTGGCGTGAAAAACCTACTGGAAAAACAGGATCACCTTCAGGGACAAAGATTTCTGCTTCTGGAACATCAACAGCTGAATTCCCACCTCTAGTGCGATACTCTTGGTAATCTAACACCCTTAAGATATTTCTATATCGGAAACCGGGATCAATCCTCCAACCCAAAAATAGACCAGGTGACATGTTGGGCTCCAAAGTCCTTTTGGTGGGTGACTTCCTACGGTAATACACTAACTGACCAAAGCATAACCTCATGCCATCAAACTTATTCCTAGTAAGCGACTCCCATTGGGTTTTGTCGGGGTCAGCTATTGAAGGCTTGTCGAATGACATTGAAAGGCAAGCATATGGATAGCTATATGTGTGATACTCATAGGGAAGACCAGATTGGAGGTGAATAGTGCGGCAACATTCTTTCTCCTCTCGAACATCTCTCTCGAGGATGGCATTGTGGGGCCATCTGTTCGGTAACGAGGTTTCTGGAACCATGCCTACGGCATGCGCCGCCTGCTCAAGCTCGCCTGCTTCGTCCATTTTGATGAACGTTCGGGTGGTGAGCTCTGATCCACGCAATCCCAGGAAATGCCTAAAGTTGCGAGCATGCGCGTCAGCAGTACGTTTAGACAATGGGTATGCAACACGCGCACCAGAGTACGCATCGCGGATGACATGATGCGACCTTATTCCCCCTATACCTACACCCAAGTGTTCGGACCCTTTAGC